GTCTTTACCAGTGAGTACTAGTTTTCTGAATGGAATTGCATAATAAAGCGACAGCTGAGTTTTAGCTGCTCGTTATAAGAATAAAAAAAATCAATTAGTCTGTTGCCAGAATGGTTCAGTTAAATCGGTCTATAACATGAGTGGACGTGGGTGGGACGCAGGGTCTTATCTAACCTGTCAGATGGATATGGAGGCACGTGACTCACGTGCACGGTTAGCTCAACCATCTGATAAAAAACCAAAATATACACAAACTACGTCAACCAGAAGAATAACCCGTTGCATATATAACCTATATAACTAACTAACATATAAGTTAGGTTTTAATTATTGTTATATATGCCATCAAAAACGTCACCACGAGCCTATGTGCTTAGACTAACAGTTAGCTAGCTCAAACTTTAACACATAATTAAAACCTTTACATGTCAACACATGTCTTATCAGAGAGCGGTCATATGCTAACTAAAAATATAAACTTATTATTTCCTCGCCCACTTAAAGTTAGTTAAAGGTACTTTTTTATCTGCCCTTGCGTGCAGACTGCGTCCTCTCCGACCAGCCGCTCCAGTTTTACTCACCACGTACGCGCTCTGTCGTTTATTATCCTTCTCGTTTTCAGCAGAGCGCTTATTCCAGACGTGATATGAGCTCGTCTGCCGAATAAGCAGCGCCAATTTTCTTCTTTGGAAGTTAAAGCCGCATTTCAGCGGTGCCAACATCGGCGCCATGTTTTACAAGCGGAGGAAGACGGTTAGTCAACACGCAACCGGTGGATGCGTCACATCCGGCTTACGTCACATCAGGACGTCGCCGTTAGTAGCAGTCAGCCTTCTGCTGGGGGTTTATCTTTTTTTTGCTGTCTTCGTATACAAGAGCTTCAGTAAACTTTGAAAAACGGGAAAAACTAATTTAATTTATTTATTTATATTCAAAATTTCCGTACCTTTTGATTTCCGTGTCGGTCGTAGAAGTCGGAACTGAAGCCAAAGAACAGCACGTTGTTTCCGTTAGCGCGGCGCTCTGTTAACACGCGCTAGCTGCTTTAGCTTTGAAACGTTGTGACCTCGCTGTCAGGATGCCATGCCACAACCAGCAGCTGAACAGTGTCAGCAGTGGCCAGGAGCACCCGATGAAGCAGGTTCGGTTTGCGAATAACAGCAGCAGTGTACCTGCGGTGCTGAACAGCCCCGAACCGGGTGATGTTCTTCCACAGCCTGTCAACCAGGACAGCCTGGGACCCCAGCTGAAGCTGCTACCTCTGAACGACCAGATCCGGGAATTACAGACTATAATCAGAGACAAGTGAGTCCCAACCCTTACATATTAAATCCAGGACATGATTTAGTTAATCACCTTCCAGATAACAGTTGGTATACCAAAGAAAATGTTTACAATATTCAAAGGATTTGTTATAGATAAGAAATAATGTCAATAAAGAACTGTAGTTGTTTGTCTTGGCTTGATTAGTGTGTAGGTATGTGTGTGTGTGTGTGAGAGAGAGAGAGATGGATAGATATATTTTTATATAGAGAGATGGATATATAGATATATATATATATAGAGAGAGAAAGATATAGATATATAGAAAGATATAGATATACATATATAGGCAATGATATATATATATATATAGAAAGATATAGATATACATATATAGGCAATGTTTGCCCTCCCTGCTAAGGATCTCCAAATATGGGATTAAAATGTCAACTCTTGACATTTAGTTCCGGACTGCTGTTCAGAAAAATCCAAAACTTTATTTAAGTTGATTTTCCACCTAAACTGCCAGTTTTACTGTCTAAGATGATTTTGTGTCCCTCTCCTCTCTTACTTGTGGTATTATTGCTGAGTCGTTTATCAGTTTGCAAGTTTCTGGTGAAGATTCTCAGTCATCCAGGTCATAGTCATTCCAAACAATAAAAATTAAAACAATTGAATTGAAAAAGCTTCCTGGATGGAAGGTGAAATGTCTTCAAACTTGGAAACAGGATCCAGTGGATTGTTTTAAATGCCTTTTTTTGGAATCAGTTTGCGAGAATTTTGATAATCTTTTCCTGATTAACACATCTTTATGACACACACAAAATACAGAAAAACTGTTGTCAAATGATTTTTAAGGGGTTATAATGAAATAAAACTATACAAACTCATAGGAAATTGTGACCTTAAAAGATCAGATCATCTACTGTGATTTTTGATATATAAAATTGTGCAAAAGATAATCAAAATGTCTTTAATAGACTTTTAGTGCTCTAATACTTTTTTGTTTCATATTTTTATATTGGATATCCACTGCTTAAAATGGATACACCTCACTGTATGTAAGAAGTGATATAATAACTTCCTAAATAAAGAATAATCTAATAAATTGCTTGGTGATGCTTTCAGGTCCACCAGCAGAGGAGATTTTGTTTTCTGTGCCGATCGACTGGTAAGATCACGTTTTGTTGTGCATCATGATAAAACTGTTGTTGTCACCCCTCTGAAATGTTTTGTTTTTATGCCCAACCATAGATCAGACTAGTAGTTGAAGAAGGCTTGAACCAGCTTCCGTTTTCAGAGTGCACTGTCACCACTCCCACAGGTGAGAGGCGCTCAGGTTTGAACAATTGAACTGATCTCTATAACCGGCTGCTTTTCTGCAGCCTTCTGTGAGAACTGCTTCATTATTGTTTCTCTTCATTTTTTTTCACTTAGGATACAAGTACGAAGGGGTAAAGTTCGAAAGAGGCAACTGTGGAGTTAGCATCATGAGAAGTGGTGAGTGACGCCCGCTGCAGAAAAGCTGCTGAGCTAATCTGTGAAACGTGCAGATGTATAATAGAGATTATAAACGTTTGCGGATCTCTCCTCCTGTGTTTCAGCTGGAGAGTCTTTGCAGCACATTGTCACAAGGTTAAAATGGGCTGACTGATATAGTGTTTAATCTCCCTGTTACTATAATTTATAGAAATAGAACAATTCATGTAATTCTGGGCGTCAGCAGCAGTTTCTTATGTTATGGATTCCTGCCGAGGACGATCTTAAGGATCATTCCAGCTGTAAGTCAAAGGGCAGGGAATAGTTGCCCAGTTTGGACTCACTGTAAATCCATCCTTCTAAATGCAGCACTTGGAAACAGTCTGTGATAAAGCTAAACACAAAAACCATTTCGATCTAACTAGGGTTGTCACGATACTAAAATTTTCAACTCGATACCGATACTTAGGAAAAATAGTCGATATTCGATACCATTTTCGATACCACAAGGATAAAAACAAAGACCCCAAAATTTAACAGAAATATTTTCATTAATAAATAAAATACAACAAAAAATAATAATAAATACAGTAAATAATAAGAACAATATTTTGAGGTTGTATTCTGTGCACAATATTAAGCAAACTTGATAAAAAACTAACAAAATTAACTTAAATGTTCCTTCCTTTGCTATGCTTTGCACACATAACAATGACACTAGCCAAACCAGTTAACAAACAAAACTAATTCTCAGCAGCTGCACCTGTTACATAAAAAGTCTGAAACTGAAAAGTGGACAGAATTATTCAATCACACTGTGTTCAGAAAGTGCATTTTCCCCTATTCTACACTCTAGATGAATGACTGTGTAGGGACCACTGGTGGAAGCACTTTATCAATACTTCTGAAAATAAGTATTGTATCCGGATACAACGTTTTAGCATCTATACTTTTGACAACCCTAGATCTAACCCAACTGGTCACATCATGACTCTTGCATTGCTATCCCAAAACACATGCTTTGTAGTTTGCCAACAAACAGCCAACCCTTTTATAGTTTGTGTATTTCATTGGTAGTTTTTACGGTCTTGGTCTTTTCCTCAGGATTCTTTCTTTTTTTTTCTTTTTTTTTTTTTTTTAGTAAGCTACCTCCCTCCTATCTAATAGTAATTTACTTCTAAAATGTCTCACAAACTTAAGAGATTTGTGTTTTCTTCGTACAGTAGAATTAATATGCCACAACTATGAGAAGTTGCTTTTGACCAAATAAATGAGGACAGGGACCAGTATGGGCAGACGTGACAGAGGACAGCTCCCAGCATGTCCGAGAACATTAGTGCAATTGGTCAGAATTTCCATGAGCTTTTTCAAGTAGGAAAAGATATAGAAAAGATGGTTTGAGGATTGGGAGGCAGAGGCGATGATATGAACATACATTTAAGGAATATAAAGCCCCCCCTGTCCATGCGTTAAATGCCTACTCTGCCATTGTGCTGCCGTCTCATTTTCCTTTTAGTTGTAATCTAAGCTATTGGGGATGAGACATTCTGTGAGGGTTGCAGCCGTGCGTCTTGCAAAGTGTGAATACTCAAAGTGAAAATACACTTTTTTTTCTTGTTCTTGTTACCTGTAAAAAAAAATGTGTTGTTTTGGTTTTGCTTAGTATGCATCTTCTTTTTAGCAAACTTCTCCAGGGTTTTATCATGGTTAATAGTTAAATCAATAGATATTAAAATAGGTGTCTGTTAATTTGATGTTTTGAATGATCATTAACTGTTATATACAGATTCTGGATTGTGCTATTTGCTGAAAGAAGGACACCTCAGATCAATGAATGAGCCAAAACTGCACTGAGAAAATTAGCATTTTACATTTAAGATGAATATTGTCTAGCCATAAATTCCTCAGGTGGAAGTTTTAACAGGTTTCCCGCGGCTCCTTAAAAAGTCTTAAAAGGCATTGAATTCTTCAAAATAAAACTAAGGCCTTAATTGGTATTAAAATGTCTTAAATCAGTCTTTCGTAGGTCTTAATTTTTAAAACATCATAAATAGGATCATTTTATTACAATTTGTTTTTGTAATCTAAATAAAACATTAAAATTAACATTTTTTTCTTATTTAAAAAAAAAATAACGACTCGCCATTATTGGTTCCGTCCCGATAGCGGAACCAATAAAAGCGTTGTTGCGGCCGGGACATTTAGGAGATGCGCCATTTACTTTTTGTCTGAAAAATATGAGCAAGTGTAAATGTAACGAAAACTGGCTCCAGCCAAGAGTTTTCTCCATGGCTAAAACCAGGGAACATACATGAGGCTCAGTGGATTTTGTGCAAGAAGTCATTCAAGCTCGAACGACGGGAATTAAGGCAGTGGAGTCGCACATGCGAAGCACGAAACACAAAGCGTCAAAATGGAGTTACCGAGAAACAGCCGGTATTTCTCAGTTTTGTTCCACCCCTGTCTCTGCAACGCCTCCACTTATCACCAAATCAAACATACTAAGAAAACGATACAAAGAAAAATAGATGCAAAAAAGACTTAGCACTGGTTATGTTGTGGATTTAAAGCTGCAGTCTGTTACATTGAGAAGAGAGCAGACTTCAACTGAAAATTTCAAGAAAAACAGGTTTCACGCAGGGGCAGTAAGGGCAGTTTCTCTTTCGCTGGTGGCTGTCGCTCCGCCATGACTTCCACGCGCGTCCCCCTAACTGCAGCAGCCGGGCGGCAGCGGCAGGTTCAGCGGTGAGAGGGAGGGGGCGGGATTCAGCGTGTGTGAGCTGTGATTGACACTCCATCAGACGCTCCTCTGGCTGTGATTGGTTGTTTTGTCTCGTCCCGAAATATTCTTTCCAGATTGCAATACAGGCAGTAGCCGGGACCAATTGAAGCAGTTTTTTTTCACAGGTTACATATCACATGTACTGCTGTCTGGGCATAGGGACAGTTTTAGCCAATATGACAAAAAAGTGATTTTTAAAAACTTACAGACTTCAGCTTTAAAACAGATTTGTTTTGTTCCCCGCTAAAACAAAGTTTCTGAATTCAGTTAAGTAATTGTTAAAATATATCTGTCATTTGTTTGTTTTTGGCTTTCTTCCCATATATGAAGTTTTTCAAAATTTGAAACATTAGTGCAGTGGTTTATGTTAAAATAAACCTTTGGGTTAAGTTGTCGCAAGAAGGTTTTTCTTGTGTTTCTTGTAAATTTGGTCTTAAATTTTTATTTCAAGGGGCATTAAAAAGTCTTAAAAAGTCTTGAATTTAACTTGCCTTATGCTGTAGGAACCCTGTTTAACTTCACCTGGTTTGAATTCTGTAAAAATAGCAAATGGTCACTAGATTTATATTTCTTAAACATGCAAATTTTAAACACCAAAGATCGGATACTGATCATTGTTAGTCCTCGTTCTCCTTCCTTTAAGCAATGTGCTGTCATTGTCAAGTACAAGACACAACACTGAGTGGAAAAAAGCAGACAAATACGCACAAAGGAAAACCTTGGTGGGCCTTCAGAAAGCTGATGAAATGTCGACAGAGCACACTTTAGAAAAGTACAAAAAGTCTGGATTCTTGAAAGCAAATTAAGAGATTGGAGAAAGTTTGAAACTTGGTGTTTTGTACTTTTCTATCTCTAAAGCTGTTTATTTGAATCTAGGTTGATGCAATATGGCTGTGCGATTATTAAGAGCATGTCTGAGATATGATTCACATGTAGTAAACGCATACTTGGGAGGAGAGAATCCAAAGGCAGCGTTTTAATGAAACATTTTTTTGTTTTAGATTCAGGTGCTGTTGGCAGAATGTTCATCTATCCATTAATTATTGTTTTCAACCTTCAATCCATTCACTCTTTTTAATGAGTCAAAGATATATATATAAAAAAGGTGAACAGTCTGGTTTCCACAGGGGAAGCCATGGAGCAGGGTCTTCGGGATTGCTGCCGCTCCATCCGGATCGGAAAGATCCTCATCCAGAGCGACGAGGAGACCCAGAAAGCGAAGGTCTATTACGCAAAGTTTCCCCCGGATGTGTACAGAAGAAAAGTGCTGCTCATGTACCCCATCCTCAGTGAGTATCTGCAGGCCGAGCTAGGCTCACACTTGGCGACGCTACAGTTAACCGTGGAAATGTCGAGATGAGTCCATTTCCTTTGGAAACACAAAATAATTTTCTCCCTCAAGTTGACCTTCAGCAACACCAAGCCTGCATTCCCAAATCATACAGAACCATGCTCTGATAATTATAGCTCTCATGTGGGAAATTATACACTTCCTCAGAGTTAGCCAGCAGGCTGCTGAATAAAGGACCAATAAAGATGGGGTCCTTACAGCTCTGGTGTCACAAAGAGGCGTTTCATGTTGAGAATATAACCCTGTCCATGGTTTATTTTTATTAGAATAAGAGAAGATGGAGTGTAATTGATGCATACATGCATGAAAAGTGGCTTTGTAACCAGGAAGGTGCAAAGCTCACTTCTAACCTGGTATCCGCTTTGTCTGCAGGTACGGGGAACACGGTGATCGAGGCTGTGAGGGTGCTGATAGAACACGGAGTTCAACCCAAGCACATTATTCTCCTCAGCCTCTTCTCCACACCTCATGGTGAACCAGCACTCTGCCTGCTTTTCTTTTCTTTTGTTTTTGCTCACCTCTTGTGCATCTGCAGGATTATCCACTGCTGCTCTAAGAGTTTAGAATAACTTACTTTCTCTGATGACGAAGTTACCGCTGACATTTATTGCAGACGTTCAGAAATAACCTCCAGTTTTAGGGTTTTTTTTTATACTTCTTGACCTTTTTCCTGTAGATCCGTTAGATTAAAATTTACACTTTTACAGTACTCATATTTAAGCTGAAGGGCAGGATGCTATTAATGCACTCTGAGACATAACTCCTTTAAGAAATGCTGTTTGCACATTTCAATGCTTCTGTTTGATGGTGGTTGGTGGAGAAAGAGATGTGGAGGAAAAAACAGGGAAATTTCTGATCCTTCGTTCTCCTGCTGATGAATTGTCTAAGAGCCTTAAATGAAAAGATATAAGAACAGCTTGGAAAGTCTTCTTCCTGTCTTTCATATCAGCATTAAAAGCGGGGGTTGTGTAAAGCTGCGACTAAAATAGCGTTTATTGGAAAGGATGTATTGAATTTATAGTGCTTTTCTATTCAAAGCTCTTCCCACTAGAGCTAAAATCTGATACGGTACACAGGTAAATAAGTATCAGTGGGTATAGTTCTATGCCCAGCGGCACATCAGCATGTGAGAGGGGGAAGCTAGCATCTAAAATGGATTGCAAAATAACTACTCCCCCCTCCCTTTTTTTAATCAATCAGCATTTTAAACATTTAGCATCTCATAAGGGCAGTTAGCACAGTTAGCTTCACCAGTAAGTGGCAGCCCTCGGGTTTATATCCTAGAGCTCTGCTTGTCAACCTTTATTCTTCAGTGTTAGACACGTCTGCTTTAGCACACCTCTATTAGATAACTGCATTACCTCAGCATGTCATCAGGGGCAATTAGCATTAGTTTTATTGCAGTGCAATCTTTACATAAGCCATTTCTCACAGGTTGCAATTTAAGCAGGAAAGGAACTGTTTGGAAATCTGTCACATTTTGTACATTAGTTACTATTTAACCTTTTTACAGTCACTCTTGTAATTTTAGGAGTCTGGAAGGCCCGTTTTAAAACTTTATCTGTGTTCTTCCTCTAGGAGCTAAATCCATAGTCCAGGAGTTCCCAGACATCACGATCCTAACCACGGAGGTTCACCCGGTGGCTCCTACACATTTTGGACAGAGATACTTCGGCACCGACTAAAACCAGGACACAATCATGATTAGCAAAGTGCTTGTGGTATATCTTCTTCATCTCGGTGTCCTTGTGTCATGCAATTACTTTCACTGTTAAACTGACACCCGTTACTTGTATTTATTGCTTTTTTTTGCTTCGTATGCTCACATTGTAGAATGAAAACCACAAAGATTAAAACATTGATCAATAAAGAATTTATATTTGTTTACAGACAGAGCAATACATGGAGATGTATTGAGGTTTCTTTTTAGGTTTAAAGTGGTTAAAAAAGGGGGGAAGCACCATTCACCAAAACAGTTAAAGAACAAACGAATCAACAGATTCTCTCTAAAAAAAATAACAATTCAATCTCATTTATCACAAAAAGAACAGAATATCCAGACACTGCCTGCAGCAGGTATAAATCAGTGAACCAATATACAGGAAAAGATTAACAATAAATAGACATGACTATACGATAATATTAACATTTGTCTTTAAACATAGTACAGAAAAGACATGAATAATTTATGTGGAGCAGCATTGGATATGTGTTAAGGAGCTGGGAAGCATTTCAAAATGTCCAGATCCAACAGCAAAGTTTAATAAAGGCCAAACGTAATAAATAAATACGGTTTAGACACAGAAATTAAGCCTAATATACAAGACAGGTTTTCAAAAATATTAAAATAATTCTGAGTGAAAAACAAAGTTAAAAAAAAAATCATAATGTAAAAGGTCATCATCCTCTAACAGTCTGTGAGGACAACTTTAATAAATATGTACAATAATTTGACAGGATATCTGATAAGACAGAAGATAATCATAACAGGCATGTCCAATAAACACACCCCAGTTTTTAGCCGACAGCGTTTAAGTCATGATATACAGGATATTACTTCCCTCTAAAATAAGAAAAAAATCTGCTTACAATAAAACCCTGTAAGAAACTAAATCTGAGTTTAACCCGTGCTTTTCAGTATGACATATGTAATTCACTTTACTCAACGCTTTAATAGCAAAGGACGGTTAGCTGGTTACATTCTCAGGAGAAATTTCTCCCAAATGCACAGGAAATACTTCTGTGAGGCACAGGTTAAGCTGGACCTTCTAATAACCTTTGAATAGTAAAACTGATGCTATTATACTGGAGAAACGTCAAAGTGACAAGCTGGACAGTTGGGTTAGACCTCCGCAGGCCTCAGGGTGGGAGTTTTAACACCACGTCCTTCAAAGAAGGGTTCTTAAGGTGCAATGATGTAAACTCTATGCTGCTAGGAATGCAGGCATGTAAAATAAAATCGCACCTTCTAGCTTCCTTACCAACAAAACGCAATAAGAATAAATAACGTCGGTTTTACTGAGGTAACAAGTTCTCTTCCTAAATAAAACTTTTTTTTACAAGAGACGTCATACTGCAGTTTGTTATCCATTTCAGTGCCTTTCCTCTTTATTATGTCGAACTTTAAGGGGAAACTGGCATAAAATACATCTGAATGCTGGTTGTCGTCCACTCACCCTCTCCAGCGCGACCCGACTTCCTTGTGATTTGGAACGCAAAACAGTTCATATTAAAGTGTGTGTGTGATAAAAGTCAACGTTATCGGAGTGTGTGTTAGTTAATCCTCCATCTCCACGGTAACGGACGGGTCTGCATCCCCGACTGGAATAAAAGAAAGCACATTTTAGTGAATAGTGTCACAGCTTTTTCAAAAGGTTTTGGATTTTAATTAAGGTGTTATTTCAATTTATCACCACTAGGTGGTAGCAGAACATCTAAACACAAACTGATGCCTCCAGATAAATGTTTCATTGTATATTAGAGTTAGAATAAAATAAAAACAAGCTTAAATATCTTTAATTGATGGGCTACAAATATTATATATTTTATATATATTTTTTTTTTCTTACTATTTCAGCTTTTTTAAAAAAAGGCTTTTTTCAGGGCTTAGTGTTGAAGGAGCTGTAGTGTAGGAAGCTATTTTAAGCCCTTTAGTTTGGTTACTGTAATAGTGTGTAGAGAAAAAAAAAAAAGCGAAACAACATATATATATACAGCAGTCTGAATAATCAGGTCAGCAAAATTAAAGGGAACTCACCGAAGCTTCCTTCTGACCCATCATCCGACTCATCCCACATGTCCTCGTTAGCTAACAAAGGGGATTCAGAGCTCTGACTCCTTAGAGGGAAGTAGTGGCCGTTCCCTTGGCTACCATCAACAACACACAAAACAGGAAATGATTCAGTGGTGTTTCTATGCCCGAAACAGATTTTTATTCTGTGATTGACCTCATACAAATGCATCAGCTGTCACTTTCCGCTACTTTGTGTCATTTGAGTTAACCAATCATGTTACTTGACTTTTCTCCGGTCTGTTTTACCCCATTTGTTCCATGTTCTTAGACAAACTTTATTTTCATTTTGTATACAAAGTGTACTGTAGCAGTGATCAAAATGTAAAGAATGTAGGAATTTCCTGATTACCTTGTGAAAACGGGGATGAACCACAGTTTTCTGTTTTCTCCGAACACCTGTAGCAGATTTCTGTGTAGGCCAAGATTGAATCCGTTTTTGTCTGGTCCACCTGGAAACACTGGAGCTGAGAAGGCCTCTGGGGAAAAAAGGACAACAGGAACCATGGGTCAGAGGGTATTTTCCATTTTAGTTATTACCGGGAGTTAAAAACAGGAGAAAGGGTCAGATGGTCTGTAATAAAAATCAAAGTGTTACATCTCACCTAAAGTGGATCTGTTCTTGGCCACCAACCAGCAGTGATAACTGAAGAGAAACATGAGACTGACGAAGAACATGAGTGCAACAAACATGAGGAAGAGTATGTGGAACTTTGCAGGTCCAGTTGGAAGGTCTCCCTGAAGGAAAGATGGATAAAGATTTTTGCTCGTGAAAAAGGCAGGGATATCAAAAACTGCAAAATATCAAGAAACTAAAGAACGACTCTTACCACCCAGAATCTGAGGAAATACTGAAGGACCGTTGCAGCGATTAATACACAGTACAGCATGGAGTAGGCAAGAAAAAGTAGAAAAAACTTGTAGTTGGAAAAACCAACACAGTTGTTAACCCTGAGAGGTAGATAATGTTTGGTTAACAGGGAACAAAAAGTAAATCAATGTCTTCAATCTATAAATTATTGTCTTAGTGGCAACTTACCAGGGACAGTGATGGTCCATCTTTAAGACACAACTACAAAAAAAAAGGGTTAAAACAAATTATAAACAGGTGTTACTTTCATCTAAATGCAGCTGAATTACTGTTTTATTAAGAATTTAGAACCATAAACCATTTAAATTTTTTAGATTATCTGTTTACTTCTGTATTGTCATAGAAAAACTGCCTGGATATAAATAAGAATTTCAAACATCTTCAGTTATAAATCAAACTTGTCCCTCCCCTTTAAATTTTGTCATGCCTTATCACATCACAACCAGGAACTTCAGTTACAGCTGGACAGATTTTGCTGCGTTTCAGATCAATTCATTGATTGATTGCTTTGTTCAACAGACTCATGGTCCACAAAGAGATTATACACAACAACACGATGCAAATCTTATAAAAGACTTGCATACCAATGTTTTCACAGAGCTGACTGGTGTCTTAGCGCACTGAGAGAGGGATGTGAAAACATTACAATAAGAGTATTCAATGAGCTGCTCAAACGACACATAAACTTTTATATCAGATTTCTC